GAAAGTGATTAAAGTTATTGTCTAAAAATGAGAAACAGAAGACAATTATGCAGCCCTATTTATCTTTTTATTGTTACCACTTTGTCCTCTTGCACTGGCCCCGCCTTTGTTTTCTGCATCTCCTCTGCAATTGCAGGAGTGTGTTCCTCGTGTTTCAGTGGGTGGGGGCAAACCCAGTGCATTCAGTCATCCATCCTTCCCTGGATCGTGTGCTGCTCACCTCTCTAGAAAAGTTACAAAATAATGGGTTGTAATCTGATTTCGGTTGATGTTTGTAGATTCCTGGCCTGTCTTCCCCCTTCAAAGAAAAGAAGTTTGGGTGTGTGAACACCACCCTCTTTGTCGGTCCAGCTGATGGACAGATAACAATTCAGATGTGTCTGTTGCTCTTTGAACCAAGAAGGATGTGCTGGTTACAGGATGTTGCAGTGTGTGCTGGGATACTAGCAGACACTGCAACACTACTGGAACGATAGTGATGTTGATTATAATGGTTGCTTTGATCCTATACTGCATCTGTGAAAATTTCACAGCATTAATATGTCTGAATTTAGTCACAATTTCAGCAATGTTTACTCCACTCTTTTACTTGCAAGTATTTGTAGGGATCCACCCACGTATATAACCATGAAGTGGCTGTTTTTTATACCCTAACAACAAAAACAAGTTCTGGCTTATATAAATTCAGGAAAACACTGACTAAAGAAACCCAACCTTGTTATTTAAGTTAGGAAAAAAAAGTGGCCTGAAAACATCAGACCAGATCCAACTTGAGGAATCGGAATTTCTTTGCCTGATGTGAAATTAAAAGAAAGAAACATGATTGCTACAACAATCCTAAGATGAGCTATTGGTGATATACTGTACCATAGATTTCTCTGTTAATTTTGTTGAGTATATTATCTTCTATGATAGCAGTCCACTAAAGCAGGTGATCCAACATAACATTCACAGGGTTCAGTTCCACCCCTGCAGACTTAGATAAATAAATTTCATTCTCCCATCAATCACGATAAAGGAGCGAAGGCCTCATTCCTGCATAAAAATTCAAAACCGATGTCTACCAAACACGATAATTCATTGCGGCGCAGTAAGAATGACACGCAGTTATTGTTGGTTTGAAGGCTTCATGTGTTTATCTCCTTTGAGACGCATCGAACATATCATATGAACTTAAAATATGTATACAAAAGATTTCTCACGTTCTCCGAGTGGGGTTGCAGCTGATTATTTTTGATTTTTATTATGCGGGACTGCTGACATCAGTAGATTTGGTAGAGTGCTTGCCTCCAGTGTTGACATGCTGTCACAATAGTTTATGATGTGAAATGAAAAATATTGCAGACTACAAAAAAATGCCCCTCGTCCTATTTGTAATTGCCATGTAAAGGTCGACGTGAACAGCTTTCCCCATGGGGTTAAAGGAAAATGAGTACAAAAAAACTAAGTACAACTCTTCATTTCTAAAATAACTCTTAGGGACCTTTAAGATCTAATTGCATAGGATTGTACAGAGAGGACTTTTTCTTTGAGTGAGCCTTAAAAGTGGGTTTATCCTCCAACGCTTCTCTACAAGTTAAACCAGCCTCACAACAAAGGATTACTTGTTCCTCCTCACCTAGAAAACCACAGCAGCACGGGGAAGCTGTTGTTTCTTTGATACATACATTATCAAAAAATACAAATGCAAATGCGACTGAAAAAGCTAAAGACAACCTTCGCGCAGTGACGGAGTAAAGACTGTCAGTTGTCAAAACCGTTTCCACAAGAGAGTCTTAGTTCAATATTGAGATGTCGCGCATTTCATCTAAGATTTAATTTTCTGCTTGACTCTCGGAGAGAGAAAGTAATCATACGAACGTGTGTCATCATTTAGACAAGTTGTCATCCCAGCATTGGAATTTCAAAATGGCAGCAAACATCTGTCATCCCCAGATTAGACTCTCCATCTCTCCACAGGTGAAGTATGGTATATACTAACAAAGATTTTGATCCAGACAGTTTCCACTTCTCAAGCTCTGCGATTCCTATTGGCGTGACAGTAATTTGTCAGATATGTACAGAAATGTAAGCTTTTATCAACCAGCAAGTAAGATGAACTTTTCAGTTTGAAATCAGGTGCACACACATCAGTAACAGAGAAGAAATCCAAAATAGATTATTTCAGTTCTCTCTTTCATAAAACATGCTCTTAGCTGTAGCTAATTCCAGTCCCATTTAAGGTTAAATTGCATGTTTTATAACCGTCTGGTTCCTCAAGCCATTACGAGTATGCAGTGGAGACAATTGAAATGATTGCCATTTATCTCTCACATTCAAAAACGGACTAACAAAGATCATGGATCTCATCAGTAAAAATCTATGTGTGCAATCATGCATGTGTGCATGTTCTTGAGCATCGCGGGACTGAGGTTTTATCCAATTTGTTAAGCCTATGAATAATAATCAGTACCCTGCACAAATGTATTATATGAGGTTTTCAATGGCTGTCAGCTGTGTATTATGAGGCGCGTCACTTGCTGCACTTCTGCATAAACAAGTCTGGCATTTTTCTCTCTATAGCTGCAACTCTCTAAAGATCAGACCACGTTTTATGAGTGATCAGTTCAGAAGACTTGGTAATTACAAAAGATTCACACAGGTCACAATAACAGAGAAAACAATCTGACTGATTAACACGTAAAAGGTTGTACTTTTCATGTCTTTGTTACAACGCTGAATAATCTATCGCAGCGCGTTGGAAAAGACAAGTCAGCTCAATAGACTGATATAAAAGATGGATGTAGTGACTGTGATATTTCCCTCTTGTTAGTAAACTCTGTGTTCTGAAGCCTCCGTTTTAGCTTTTATAATGACAACCATCTTCATTTCCTGGAACGAAATGTGGCCATGTCTTAACAAACAGCTCATTAGCCTTGACAATCTAAGAAAGTGATTTGTAAAATAAATAAATAAATAAATCTAATTAAAAAATTCTTTCACCAGATTTTAAACATTTTGACATTACGGGAAAAAATCGGAATTTATGAGGACTGACCCTTTTGGAACAGCCTCAAATGGCCATAAAGAGCAGCTGGCGTTTATAGCACTTCTACAGTGGCTTCATTGTTCTTATATTGTGTTTCCTGTTAGCAGCCTTCTTTAATAGTGTCTGTCACCATCTGATGTTTCCTGTAGCTGCTTATAAGCCTTGCAAAACAATCAAAAGGAAATGTAGACCACCACTTCCTCCAAAAGCCTTAGTGCATCAACATTGGAGGAAAGTCTTGGTTGAATAGCCCTATTCAGGTCATGGCAGAGCATCTCAAGGTCAGTGCTCTGACTTCATTTTCCACTACTTTCCACTGCTCTGATTTACCTCTGTGCTCTGAGTCTTTCCATTAAGTTTTAAGTCATGGACCGAAGCTATGTATTGTCCTGAAAGATTACTTGATGTATTCTTGAATTCATTGTTTCCTCAATAATAGAAGGGATACAAACTATCTCCAAACCATGATGCTCCCTCTGTGAAGCTTTGTGTTTGTGTGTAGTGCCTTTTCCCTGCAAGCACTGTGGATTTTTACTAAGAATTATGTTTTCTAGATGAGCATCAAGGTCATTTAAGACATGGGGGCATGTTCTATTTTTTTAGTGACCAGTTGTTTCCTTTGAGGTACCTTTCCATTAACACCCATGGTGTTCACGTGTCCTAAAGTTGACGCATGAACAAAGATTTTAGCAGGTTGCAGACATATCCGCAGGTGTTTCCTGTTTCTCCTGGCCTCCTTTTCAGCTCTTTCACCTTCGTCACATATTGCACCCCTGGTGTGATCTTTGCAGGACTTTCACTCTTAGGCAGTTCCTTCATTTGTTGTCTTATCATACACCAGAAACACCAAGGCCCTGTGACGGTTGTTATCATGGTTCACACCAGCCAGTCTTTCTTGAGAAGATGAATGTTTGTCTTTGATTATATATTCCTTTGGCATGCAGAACATGAGATTCTAGGGTTTTTAAACATAAAAGTCAATAAGGTTTTTCCACATCATCTGTCTTAATGGGCCTAAAGCCGCTATTGTTTTGCCCACCCTCAATCCCCCCAAACCTGTGAAAATTAACAGATCACATGACTGAAGTTCAGACAGAAAGTCACATGATATGCTTTTCTCATTTGTTAGAGAGGACTAGACTTACAAATGAGCCAGTGAGGAATTTAGCTTGTGGCAAAAGTAGTATTTAACTTTACTTTGTAATGCAAAACTGCTAATACAACAATAATAAACTATTACTACAAGTAATGTGCTCCGTTAACATGTTTGAAGAAATAAAAGTACAAATGTATTGGTGTTTTATTGTTGTTGTTGTTTTGTATGTGATGTTATTAGCTAATCATTGTTGTGTTGCATTTATGCATTGCTGTTGGTAGTGAGGTGGGTGCAGAGAGGCGCTTAGGCATTTTATGATGCTTTCAGGTAATTCTTAAAATTCCTCATTCAATACCATACCTACTTGTCTGTATTTTGGAGAGATGGTGGAGAATTTCGTCTAATAAATCCTACTTTTGTGTATATTGCTTAGGAAAGTAACAAGCTCAAATTCCCGTGTGTTACATTCCACTCAAACTCTCTCCCCGCTTAGTGAGAAATGACGGTTTCCGAGGCTGTCAGCGGCTTTATACCACGCAGTTATTGGGATACGCCCACATCAGAGCTCCCACCACTCACAGGGACGAACGTGATTAGGTCATCGCGCCTTTCAGTCACGCCCATCTACTGTGGCTTCCTGTGTGAGCCGTTGGACTCGCTCTATCTGCAGCGAGTCTCCGGCATGGACACAAGCTTCACGGCAGAACTTTTCACAGGAGATTTTATCGCTGTTGTTTTCCATCTGACACGGCTCGTATCACTCGGAGATGGATTTCTGAACGGAATAAGCCGAAGCTGAGCCCGACTCTAGTTAAATCTCCCATTTGAAATCGTTTTTTGTGTGTTGTTTGAGTTGTTAAAGGAAGAGGGGAAAATGCCAGTTGCAACTCTTCTGCCTTTTACCGCGACCCCGAATAGGAAGTCTGCCAGCCCGACTTCTTTCAGGTTGACAGAGAAATTTATTTTGTTATTAGTGTTCAGCGCTTTTATAACCCTGTGTTTCGGGGCAATTTTCTTCCTTCCGGACTCCTCCAAGCTGCTCAGCGGAGTTTTCTTTCATTCCTCCGCGGTCGAAACGAACACCCACACCGGTCCGGACAGCAGCGACGCGGGTTCGGCTGGAAACGACGACAGGCTCCTGGCAAAAATCAAGAAAGACCACGAAAAGGCTCTGTTAGAGGCTAAGGATACTCTACAAAAACTTCCCGACGTGATACAAAATGACATTCTAGCTGATAAAGCGAAAGTTACAAAGGAGAGCATGGGTAAAGGTGCGAAGGATGGCAATAATTTACCTTTCATAGAGTACCACCGCCCGCCAGGGGCGACGGGACTAGAACCCCAGGACCCAGAAACCAGGGAGAGACGGGCTAAAATCAAGGAGGTAAGGATCTGGAGAGGATTCTTGTCAAGCTGAGCTCCTTCTAAAATCCAATATTTTAAATGTGCCTTGGCCTGTGGCTGTTTGGAGTCATGGGAGAACGTGACTCAACACGTTATAGGGATTGTTCACAACCTGTCTGCTATTCGGCACATACATAAAATGCAATAAAAGAACTAATGTAAATGTAAATTTAACTTTAGCCACGACAGTCTTGTTATCCCGAACCGCTGATTTACTTCACGCAGAGCGGTGGGAGTTGGCGAACACCAGGTACACAATTAATCATTTTAGTTAGTCGAAACAAACTGTGAGGTGGTTCTTATATCCGAAATTCACAGGATATATGTTAATGTTTATCTAATTATATTTCCGCGTGAAGAGATCTCTTTATGCTCTTCGGTGTACTTGGCAGTTTAATTAGGGAGCTTTTTGAACGCAGTTAGTAATACCGTTTTGCCTTTCCACTACACCGGGGGAAAATCAGGAATGCTTGCGAGATCCACTGCCCCCCTCCGGGCTGACCTACCTGTCTTTCAAGTTTCCCAGTCTCAGGGGGTGGTGCAGAATCAACTGGTATTAGTTGGTATATTCTCGGATGGTGGCTGGGAGAGGGGGGTAAAACACACCTTTTGCATCCTTTCATAGATCTTTATGTGACCTAGATTTTCAGTGAGCTCCATTATTCCTAACCTAAAAGGATTTGTTTTAAATAAAGAACGAACGTGTGCGTCTCTCTAATTAATAGTATTAATTATTGCAACAGAAGCTTAATTCGCTCTTGTGTTTATTTACAGTGGTAGTGTCACAGCATCTGTGTTTTTCGTTATTGAATGTTTTTTTTGTCACAGCAGATGGAAACAACGTTAGCCTTGTTGCCTGCAGCAGGGTGAAAATACCAACAGGTAGCATGTCTGCTATTATTGTGTTATGCCAGTGCACAGTGTGCGTGTGTAGAAATAAGGGGAAATCCCAGCCTTGAAGTCACAGAGGTGGTTTCAGGCAGCATCTTATGAAAGCAGCCAACCTGCTGTTTCATCTGTGATATGATCCTCGCAGCGCTCGACTGATACTAAAACATCCTCACTAAAACGTTAAATCAGATCTAAACCACTGTGATAGTGGTATGTGTTTGTGTCATTTTGAAAATGTGCATTGCAGGTGATGATCTCAACACTAAACGCATGTTTTGAAAAGTCCAAAGAGGGACTTTTTCTTGATATAATGCAAATGGATTTTGGTGCCAAGACTTGGGAGAATCTATAAAAACAAAAGCATTGGAGAGCAAAGAGGTAGGAAGAGGGTCACCACAGCTCTTAGGGGGTTAAAGGTACCAAACTAATATAGTGCCTGTCCCCTTGTGCTTCCAAAATTCCTTTGACACATTGGGGCATGGACAAAGGGGCCTTTAGGGTTGTCATGCGGTGTCTGGGGACTCCAGTTTATTAAGCCAATCCTATGGGTGCTGAATTATATCTGCGCATGTAGTTTTTTCTTTGTTTTATTCCTTGAGGTGGTCGTTGAGGAGGCTGCTGCAGTCTGCAGGCAGCACTGCAGTCAGTCTCTGCCTGTAGACCCGTGGTCAATATTAGCAGATACAAATATCACAGCAGTGGATTCGTCTGACTCCTTAAATGATCCCTGACATTAAACCATGATATTTTTACTCTCAGGAGAGAATTATAATAGGGTTTTTACCTCGATACCAAAAACACCAACCAAATGATCAGGGTTGTTGTATGAAAATATATTTTAGGGATATACTTTACTCAAGAGAGAAATGCATTTTTGGCAGTGGCCAAAAAAAAAAAAAACAAACAGACTCACTAAAGTAACTGTATGGAGACCAGTTGTTTATGAAATCTTGTCATTTAACATTGATGTAGCTTACTGAAGCTTCATAACAATTTAACATGGCATAGTTTCATATTACAACAGGAGATTTTATTGATACATCACTCTGTATCTGTACTAAAGCCTTTTTTCTATTGTCTGTTATTAAAGACACAATGTACTGCAGATGGTTGACAAGCCAAGCTTAAGATGTGTCAAGTGCCATTGAATAAGTCAGAAACCCTGCGGTCGTGCCATCAGCCACATGAATGTGGCATTAAATAAACCATGTCAACAAGAAGCCACTCTCTTTATAAACTAAGCCATGCCAAATGTGCATTTACACGTACTCATGGTCTTCCTGCACTTAGTATCATGATGTTAGGCAAAATAATACCGTGTTAATGTTTGTGTTTTGTTAGTGAGGTCCTAAATCCCATTTCCAACATCTCAGATGGATGTTTATGCTTTAGAGTTCAGCTGTGATTTTCAAAGCGACTTTAATAACCTGGGGGGAAAGTCAGCACACGACTGTCCCATTGAAAACACAATGGTTCTGAACCCTGTGGGGTTTTGAGGTCAGATTTTCGTGTTTATAAAGTACAGTTGTAACACATTGTATTGCTGTTTTGTTTTCAATAACAAAAAAATAATAAGTCCTGTACACAATACTTTGTTTATTTTCTTCCATTTTTGAAAATATCAGACGCTGTGTCGACTTGCATGCATGGTTATAAGTTTGATTCAGGTCAGGTGCTCTATTCAGAGCATATTTTTGAGATGAACTGTAACAACCTGCAGTAGTAAATCATAAAAAGATCCAGTAGTGCTTTAAGCAGTAAAATGCAACTTTTTCTTCATGAGATCAGCTCCTGTTTGCTTGGCAGTAAGAGACTTTGAGCTGTGATCTTCTTTCAAAACAAAATCAGCTGCGTGTTTTATTGTTAAATGAGTAAACTGAGGCTAAGGGGAGGTCACTTTAGATCTCACCCAGACATGCATGTTGATCTCAGTTTCTGTAACTCATAGTGTTGCAAAAATTTAAAAAAAAAAAGGCAGAAAAGTGTGAGGCTTCACCAACCCCAACTTTAACAAAGCGGCTAATAAACATATTGTAATCTTCTGGGAGAAGCCTTCCTTTGAACTAGAAAACAACACTACATAATAGTTGCTTTATGGCTTCTCATCATGGAAAAAAGCATGTGGCATATATAATAAAGGCTCATAAGAACTCAAAAGAAGTGTACTGACTAGATGTGTACTTGTACCGATGAGATGGTTTGAGCATGTGAAATTGGGAATATATTGGAGAAAAAAATGTTGAACATGGAAGAAGACAACAGAGGAGGTTTGTGGATGTAGTGAAGGACGACATGCAGAACCGGCTGTCGGTGTAACAGAGATTGCAAAGGATGGGAGATGGAAGAGATGGTCGTTGTGGCGACCCCTAAAGGGAGCAGCTGAAAGAAGCCTCTTTGATCACCACTGTTGATTTGAAACCTCCAGCAGTAGTTGACAGTTAACAAGTCCAGTAAAAGAAAAAAAAAAAAGAAGCTTTTTTTTTCTCCTATCACACCTTTATTACACTGTAGTAGTGGCTTCAGAGATATTAATATCCTTAAAGATTACATAACAAATATGAAGCTGATTTGTATGAAATTTAAGCACAGATGAAGGAAGCAGTCATCAGTTTGGTTTTGAGAATCACCGACTTGATAAGGATAAGCCCAAGATGATGGATGGATGCGTTGTTCACGGTGGGGCATGTGCTGTATCAGCGCCCTTCTAGATATTTCTGAGTTGATTTTAGCCATTCACGTAGTACAGTTGGACCACACAGGTCTCCAGGTTTGTGCTGAACTCCTCTACAGATCACACTTTTATCTTTCTGCCGTTTCTGTAAAGCCAGTAAATTTGCTGACCAAACACACTCTTACATGCACCCCATGATCTTTTGTGACCTCCTGTGCTTTTTTCTTTTTTATGTGGAGGATTTTTAAATTATCTGAGATCTGCTATCTCCCAGCTAAACTTCACCATCTGATCGAGTTATCAAGGGATCAGCCCTGCACTGAGCTGTCGTGTCAGCGGGCGCATGTTGAGTTTGAGATGGGCAGAGCGCATACAGCATGGGTCGCTCTGTAAAGGATAAATAGTTTGTTGGGAGTGACCGCCACAATCCTACAATCAGCTCAATCTGTTTGTCTGACTCAAATCAGGCTCTCTGGAGAACCCCGCCTCCCCACTGTCAGGACCCCGGGCTTTCACATAGCAAGCTACTTTTCTGTTAATAACAATTTCTTCACCAAGATTAATTGGATAACATTTCAGTAACATTTGCAGGAAAGTCCCCTCCTGGAACGCCTTGCGATTTTATGAAGAATGAGAAATTTATTTTCTACATTTGTATTTTAACACAACCTGGCAATGCCTTGAATAAACTCTTGTTAGCGGTTGAGTTAATGGGCTTATTGCTGACCCGTGTGCTCTGCACTTCCTTTGACGTAGGCTAACCACAGGTAAGATGCAGCTTGAAGCCTTCATTATGCGTTGCTGTGGACATGGACAGCTGGAGACCTGATGGCCAAGTAGCCATTCCTGTTATACTTCTTTGAAGTCCACCACCTGGGGTGCATGCTTAGTTTGTGGATTGCAATGCAAATTCTCCACACGTAACTCCGCGCGTACACAAAAAACAAGCAGGCACCTGGCACCCACCTTCTGATGAAATTTGTCACTCATACCTGAGTGGGCCGTAGTGGACGTGGAAAGTATAATGAAAGATTGAGGGTACTTTTCTTATTCTGTTCGATTTGATTTGATGTCAACATATATTAGACATTATAATGCTGTCGAGGTGAATGTGTAAACCAGTGTTTTTAACATTATTGCCAGCACTGTCTTCTGTAGCTCACAGCGTCTGAAGTTGTTTTTACACGACGCTGTTTAAGCATAGTTTAGCTTTTAAACTTGTCAGTTCTCTAACTGCTTTGGTTGAAAGAAGTAGTTGGATGTATTGTTTCTCAAAAACCAAAAAATTATCGGTGATGGTGGACAAGCTAAAGCTGGTCCTCCCGCAGTGCAGTCGCCTGTATAACATGATAGTTAACGTGTCATAACATTAATTATCAAAAGACTGTTTAGAGTCACTTTCTTTTTTTGTTTTGTTA